AGTTAGCTATCTTTTTCTGCTCATGCACACTTTCAGCCGTATATCTGTGGTGAGCTACGGTCTCAGAAAGTCATTGAAGCTCACCTTTCTCGCAGCGGTTCTTTGAAAATGGCCAAGGGTCATAAGAGAAAAAGTGTCCAAGAATGTATGAGAAGAAAAGAAAGGCCTCGGAAGAGGCAGACATATCCCAGAATGCTTTGCACAGTGAGCTCTCCTCGCAAATGTCGCCACAGGCTGTCGCCACCTGACAGCAGCGACTAATAACAAAGATGGCACAGGCACCGCGAAGTGAAGGAGGAGTTATGTGACCAACGGGGAGCAGAAAGCAGTCATCATCTGTCTGAACGGTAAGATAACAGAGTTCACTATAAAGTTTAGTATATAGTCCCCGCTCTATATACTAATTGAGGGATTTAGGGGTTAGAGCGGACGTTCGGACACAGTAAGCTTTTATGAGCTATGAGAACAGCAACTTTATAACAGAGCGTGGACGAGGAGAAATGGGCTCAGGCATGCTCTCCCATCACCCTTTTTCTTAATGTGGAGAGGGCGGGTCTTTTAAAAAATTCGCGAAAATTCTCCGCAATACCTTTAAAAGGGAGACACCATGATGCAGCTGGTTGTAGTGAAAATGGTGGTATGGTCCGGATCAATGTGGTTGTAATAAGTGGTCTATCCCAGCACTGACCCAGATGCCTTCTAGAGGGAAGGACCACTCACTACACCCTAAGGAACATTGGTCTGGACCAGACCACCTTTTCTGCTACATCCACTACCACATTTTTTATCAGTAGCTGAAAGGTGACACACTGACAGCCTTTTATCTAAATCTGAAAACATGTTGTCATGGGGAAGGGAATTTAAAATAAGCAAAACCATCCATAGATCAGTCTACCTTCTACTATGTGTTTCAATGGATGACTATCCATAGTCCACTGAGAGGCAAGAGAAACAAAACAAAAAAAATTGAAAAAGAATTTAAAAACCCAGGAGAAAACAGAAGTCTATCTTGGCGTAGCTTCTACAAGGTAGAGAAAATTTATGAAGAAGTGGAGCTCTATTCAGAAAGAGTAGGATGTCCCTCAGCAGCTTCTGTAGCAGGTCTATTGACAGCGAAGGGCCAGTCTGTCATTTGTAATTCATTAATGCACCACTAGACGGAAATAAATATTACAGACTGTCCCTTTAAGGTTTTTGGTGTCTCACAAAAGTATTCACATCCATTGATCTTCATTGCAAACATATGCATTACAATACTTTCTCAAAGTCCTTGAGTCCTTGTTTTTGCATCATTATATGCACAGCTCTCTCATGGTCTAGAAACTTTTATTCTTGTGATAGTTTCCGTATCACTATACTTCTAATCTGAGAGGGGTTTGTGATGCTATAACTGCAAAACAAAACCAATGGACTCATTGTAATCATTATAATCCTGGTGTGGCTGCAAGTCTGTTGACATTGTTCCAGGAGTTTGAAATGTTGTTTATGTGCAATATTTAACCCTAATCTGGCTTGAAACGTTTTGAGGAGGTATTGCAAGTATTGCATGTTAAGAATCTGCACTTCTTAACATGCAATACTTGTTAAGCCTTCAGGCTTCTATGGTTGCTAATATAAAACATGCCTAATTAAGTACAGATTATAAAAACGAAAGAGTGTACTAGATGTTTTCTATTAGTTAGCAGTAAAGCTATTCTACATCTGGGCTCACATTTCTAGCAGGTCTTCTTTAGATTTATAATTCTTATTTTGTCATATGTCTAAACCAAAACCAAAATAACGAGCACTTGAAATTTGCTGCGACTATGAAAAACAACAGCAGTCCCTCTGGAGGCTATTTGTCCACGTCTTTACTTGTGTGAAACATTAGAGACGGTAGAGTTGCAGATGTTGTTGCGTGATGTGAGGCGAAAGAAATTCTGCGACGTGCTTTCTGCATGTGCATGACAAGAGTGGTTATTTTCATGTGAGGTTACAGCACAGTCCTTTTTAAAGAAACATTGCCCATTTGTGGTGGTTTAATTTTAGAAAACTGTGGAATTTACTATTTTTACCCACCAAATCCGCTTCAAGCTGACATTCGCAAATGAAGCCAGATTTTTAATTGAAAAGTTAGAAAAAATTTTGATAAAAGCAGACCTATAGGGTTTTATTTTGTCCAAAATGTAGGCTAGCAGCATATTTTGTCTCTTTTTGGTTACAAATACCTTCATTTATAAAAAAAAAAAATTGTATTAATACATATTACAGAGAAATCACTGGAATCCTTTCAGTTTTCATATTTCATTTTGTGTTTTTAATCAACTTCATATCTCCAGTCAAAAAAAATAAAAGATGCAAAGAGAATTTAGTGGCATTAGGTTGTACCTTCATTTATAAAAATATTTCATTTATAAAAATATTTTATGAATACATATTCTGGAGAAATCACTAGATTCCTTTTTGTTTTCATATTTAATTTTCTGCTTTTTAATCAACCTCATATTTTCAGACACAAAAAAAAATGAAAGATGAAATCTTTTTCTAAGAGCTTAAAAATTGTTTTATCACTATTTCCCAGGTATTTTAATTTATTCTTTTGTTTTTTTTGTGGCCTTTTTCATTACTAATGGTTTTTTTTTTTGTTTTTTTTGTGGCCTTTTTCATTACTAATGGAAATTCTAGTAGTCCTTTACGTCTTATCAATGCTTTCATCAAAGTAGACTTTCACATATCTTGATTTTTTTGTCCAAAGTTGTTAAAGCTAATTTGATTCTTGACCAGTTGCATTAAAACTCAATTTTAGAGCCTCTCAAAATCTGTAAAATTTGGATGTTTTACAGTTAATTTTGAAATTCTACATCAGAACTTGATGACTTCTGGTAAGATGCATCTAGGGGGTGCTCTACTTTTACTATGAAGTAAAATTAGTAACTGGAAACAATTGAAACTTTGGTAAAATAAATGGCCATTCTGAAGTAAAGTGCACAAATTAAGCATGTAAAACACTAACTAAATAAAAAAACATTAAAATCATTTTACGCCAGAGGTGTCACAAAACCAAATAATACTTGCCTACCTTAGACATTTTGGCTATCTATAATTTACAGGAGTAATAGTTTTTTAGACAAATCTTTATTTTGTTTTCTTAAATTTTTTTTTAGCAATTATCTCTACTTTCTACTTCTTACATTGTAAAAATAGACTTGTTGGTTTTGTTTCATTTAAAGGTATTGTGAAGAATTTTGTCAAACCTTTTAAAAGACCCGCCCTCTCCACTTAAAAAAAATGCACATGTACAACCCTGTACCCGCTCCCAAGAGGGAACGCCTATTAAACGTGTGCGAGAGCGTGCACAAGCCCATTTCTCCTCGTGCACGCTCAGTTTAAAAGTTGCTGTTCTCATAGCTCATACATGCTTACTGTCTGTGAACGTTGCCATAACCCCTAAATCCCTCAGTTACTATATAGAGTGAGGGCTATATACTGAACTTTATAGTGAACTCAGTTAACTTACCGTTCTGACAGGTTTTTGCTCCCCCCTGTCAGCCACGTGACTCCTCCTACTCCCCCACGCTGTGCCTGCGCCATCTTTGTTATTAGTCGCCGCTGTCGGGTAGCGACAGCCTACAGTATGGCGACAGCGGGCTGCTGTGACAGCAAATCTCATAATGCTTTGCGAGGAGAGCGCAAAGCATTCTGGGATATATCTCGTCTGGGCCTTTCTTTTCTTCTCATACACTTCTTGGACACTTTTTCTCCATTTTCAAAAAACAACTGTGAGAAAGGTGAGCTTCAATGACCGTCTGAAACTTAAACTTAAAGTCCAAGCCAGCATTACTGTGTTCCATAGTGTATGTGTGACCAATAAAAAGCCAGTGGAGGCTGGTTTTGTCACGGTATTGGTTCTGTTAGGTTTTACTTTGCTCCATGTTTTCTAGTTTTATTTGTTTAAGTCCTATTTTGTTGTATTTTCTGGATATATTTGAGATCTAAGGTTTTTATTTGTTGCCCTCTTGTGTTGGTCTTCTTTTCTCTAGCTCCTTCCTGTCATGGTCTTGGTTCTGTTGTTCTTTACTTTGCTCCTTGTTTTCTAGCTTAATTGGTTTAATTCCAGTTTTGTTGTAATTTTTAGATTTATGTTAGTTCTCATGTTTTTCTGTTGCTCTCTTGTGTGTGTGTGTGTGTGTGTGTGTGTGTGTGTGTTTTTCCCCTTGGCTCCCTCGTTGTCTCCTCTCACACCTGCTCCTTGTCAGCTCGTTAGCCCTGCCTTTGTCTCAGTCAGCTATTTATACTCTCCCTCATTCAGTCACTCCTTGTTGGTTCCTTGTCATTGCTGTTCCCCCATGCTGTTGTCTGCCTACCTCGTCTCTCCCTGGCTCCTCGTGTTTGGTTTCCCCAGATGTCTCCATAGTTCTGGTTTGTTTTACATTATTAGTTGTTGTTTTTTTTTGGATTCCTGCCTATGTTAAACTGTTTCCTTTGATTTAAAACTACAATAAACCACCTCAGCCTCTTTGCCTCTGCATTTGGGTGCTCCAAACCACAACCAAACCCTGACACTTCCCTGTCTGCTCTGTTCACACCTGCTCCCAATCTGCTCATTAGTACTCTATTTGTTCAGTCTCCCATAAATACACTCCTTGTGCAGTTCCTCAGTGCTGGTTCCTCCTCTAACTTTGTCTTACTCCACCTTACCTCGTCTTACCCTGGCTCCTCGTGATTGTTTTCCCCTGATGTCTCCATGGTTTGTTTACATTTTTTTAATTTGGATTGTTGGATTCCTGCCTCTGTTACCTGTATTTATTCATTAAAAAGTTGCAACTAATCCCTGCCTCTCAGCCTCTGCATTTGGGTCCACTAACCATAACCAAATCATGATAGGTTTGACTTCAGACCAGTCCATTATGTAACCGGACATCCACATTAGCTGTAACTGGAGCAATGAAGCTCTTCAGCTTGGTAATTACTGATGACTGCATTACTATACATGACACCAGGATAAAGTAAAGTGACAGGACCTTGGAACTTGAAGGTCTCCAGGTGGACCCAGAGGCAGAGGTCCTCGTTGTCGCACTGGCAGCTCCACGGGTTCCCGCTGAGTCCTACGGAGCGCAGAGTGGGCAGCGCGATCAGAGAGGTGATGTTGAGCGCAGTCAGGTTGTTTCGGCTCACGTCGAGCACCTGCAGGGCCTCGTTCTCCAGAAAGGCGTCCGGGTGGATGTCGGAGAGCCCGGGGTTGTCCGTCATCCTCAGCATCACCAGGCTCGCCAAGGGGCCGAACGTCCTGTCCTCAATCCGGTGCAAGGTGTTGAAGGAGAGGTCCAGGTAGGCCAGTTTGCGCAGGTTCCCAAAGGTGGACTCCGATATCTCCGTCAGCGTGTTGTTGCTGCAGTCCAGGTAAACCAGGTCGGAGAGGTAATTGAGCGCCAGAGGCGGCAGCTCCGAGATGCGGTTGTTGGAGATGATGAGCTGCCGCGTCGCCAGCGGCAGGTTGACCGGGAAGGTGGTCAGGTGCTGCCCGGCGCACTGAACCACAAACTGGTCATCACAGACGCACCTGTCCGGGCAGCCGGCGGTGATGATCGGGGATGCCAGGACCCCGGCGCCACAGAGGAGGAGGAAGCACACTACGAGCCGCAAGGGGTGCGCGCTTGTTGGCTGCGGGGCAAGAAGCATGACACCGCAGAGGGCTTCATCAACCCCGTCTGGACAGAGACACACACAGTCACATCCCTCATTGATGTACCGGAGCCGAGTTGTTTGTTCCAGAAACGATTCCCACCGAGGTCGGATCCAGATGTCTGTCCGTGGCACGCTCCTCCTGCGCGCAGAGCCTCACTTCATCCTGCCTGCCGCTCCGGGATCCAGCGCGCATCCACCAACTTTCACCCCCAGATGCCTTCCTGCTGTCTCGCATCTCACTAATCTGTCCAGCTGTTCGCGCATCGTGGATTCTTACCGCTGCTTCTCATAATGCGCGGCTCAATTGTTCCACTACATGTTTCGCCATCCAGCCGCTGACTGTAACTGAATCCAACTGCGCGGTGGGTATTGGAGAGGAGGGGAGGGGGGGTTCACGCTTTGGAAAGAGCTGGAGCGCGAGTGAGAGGGGGTTTGGGCACCAGAGAGAATGCAAGACCACTCTCACACATGGGGGGGAAGATAATCCATGCACTTTTGGCATTTAGTGACAAAGGTCACCTGGAATGTTTCAGCTGAGGGTCTGCATGACTCACGTGGGTTAAGTAATGCTGGTTTTATGACCATTAGTTTGATTCATGCGCATTGGAGCCATACGAAAAACATAAAACAATAACTGGTGCTCAATGATGAAGCACCTCATGCAATGAGGGGAATCCTGTTTGAAATGCGCCCTGGATTCATTCCTAATGAGAAATACTCGATGCAGTCATGGTGGATGTGCAGTAAAGCCTTTATTTAGCCAAATTACACAGAACTTTAGAAACATTCAGGTACATTTAGGTTCTGCTGAAGAGATAAGGATCAAAAATTATTTCTTATGTTCCTCTTTCAGCAGCAGATATTTCCCAAGACAGATCTGATGTCTTCACTTGTAAATGTAATGTAATGTAAATCCCTTTATTGTCCCACAATGGGGAAATTCACTGTCTGCATTTAACCATCCTCTTGAGGAGCAGCGGGCTGCCATTGTGTGGAAGCAGTGTGCTCTGGAACCCATAGTAGAGTGTGGGGATCAAACTTGCAACCTTCTCAGAGCACAAGCACACTGCTCTAACCACTAAGCCAACACTCCCTTAATATGTCAGTTTAAATTTGAAGTGGACTTAGCTGACGTACCGACTTGTTTGCTAAATGTATAGTGGGGGATGTTCTTTTTCCGGGTGGATCATCAAAATAAGTGGTCCTGCAAATTGTCAATCATTCTGGTGATATGTTTGATTGATTGATGAGCTTTATTGATCTCACAGCGGAGAAATTCACTGGTCACATATTGGCATAGTAAATAACGAAGGTGCAAACAAGGAGGAAAAAGGTGCATTAAGAATAAACAATATATATATACAGTATATCAAGATAAATAAGGATTAAGGTGCAAGTGTACATGTATCACACACAATGAAAAACAAAATAAAAATAAGAAATAAAAAAATACAAGGGAGTAGCACAGAGATTTGAGATGTCATATGTACAATCCGGATGTCTTATATACAGGTGGATTGACTTTTACATTAAAGTGTAGTAGGTAAGGAGCAACAGTGAGGTCGTGGTATGACTATTATATTCACATTTATTGCACAGTCAGTATATTGCACAGAATATTGCACAGTCAATAAATATAAAACTATAATATAGCTGCACAGTGGTTTTTACAGGAGTTATTGTGGTTATACGCAAGTTATTGTGGTTTACGCAAGACTTGTCCCCATTTTCACTTACCGGCGGTGAGTCTGAAGTAGGGGAAAAATTGAAAAACTGTTCTTTGGGAAAGTAAGCTTGTATGACCGATGCAAACAGCAACTTTTAAACAGCATGCACTAGGAGAAATGGGCTCGTGCATGCTCCCCCACCATGTCTTCAAGTCCTAATGGGCACAAAGACATGTTTGTTTGTTTTTCTGTCCGAGTTTTCCAAGCTCTCTGCAAAACTGGTATCATAAATACCAGGAGATGAGTCTGAGTCCTGCAGATTAGTACTAGCAGTAGACATGCTGGTCTGACATACTAGTAAAACCTGACATTATCCAATGAAAAGTGTCATTATCAACTGTGTTTCTTATTATTCTCAGAGTGAACGTCCCTCTCGTTCAAGTTCATTAGTTCAAAACTGATCCGTTCATTTCACCGTTCACTACAAATTATGAATGTATTCATTGCAGGCATTCATGCATAACACTGGGTTCGCACATGAATATAGGAAAATATAACATGCAGGGATGTGCAGTCTATCCTGATGGATGGACTGCTAGCATCTGAGAAAATCAAACATCAACGATTATATTAAAACCAACACAAGTTTAAATGGTGATATTTGTAAAAAGAAATGCACGTCACGTTGTGTAGGCTACAAACACAACAAGAGAGAATGTTTAATAATGCATTTTTTCATCATAGAGATGAGAGGTCAAAGTTTCTCATCTTGGCGTCTCGGGTATTATAGAATGTTTGCAGCTTTCATGTGCTTCATGTGTTCATGTGCAATTTTCATGTCGGTTTTTGGGATTTAACATAATTACGATACGAAATGAAGGCAGCATTAGTGTCTGATTTCCAAGTATACCTGTTTGACCTGCACACTGCTCCTTTAGGTCCGCAGCTGAAATAGAAAGCTTTCAGAGCTGCATTTTCTATTAAAATCTTTTTTTGTTTTGTTCTATTCCTCAAAGCTGTTCCCTCTTCATATCGTATATCCAACCCTACCACCTATGAACATGCTCATCATATTGCACAACATCCCAGTCTCGGTACAACTTAGCAAACATTTGCAGAGAGGATTTCTCTAAAGCAGGTGACAGGAGAGGGTCAGCTGCAGGGTGGTCTCAGGCACTGGCAGGTTTCTTTTCTTTTTTTTTTTTTGACTCACTGTGATCTCAGTGTGGAGTCATGAGTCTATTCTTGGTTCTGTGTGTAGGTGTTGAAGTGCTGAATCAGACTCAGCAGGATGGAGGAGGAGCAGCAGCAGGAGAAGGAGGAGGACAGATGTGCTGCTGACGACTTCCACAAAGTTACCCAAAGACGACACTTATTGCACCCCCCCAATTCACAGAAATCCACCAAATGAAGTCGGTAGCTTTTTCTATTCTTTTATTTACCATCTCTGTCAGATTCCCCATCCTTGAGCTCCATGTGGATTGAACCAACCCTCACAGCTGTTAAAGCGTTTACACTGACTTCAGGGGGACATCTAGTGTTGAATACATGAAAATAACATGGAGGACGTATCCTGATGGAGCAAAATGTTGTGTTCTGGATGTTTTAGTCTCTCTGTTTTGCTGTTGTTTAAAAAAAAAATATATATATAAGTTTTACAAGCTCTGAAAAACAAGGTTTGGCCATAAAATAAAGAATAACCAAATTATTAAACATGCATGAAGAACAAATATAAATATGTTATTTTATGTTGGTCCTTACTAAAAAAAAAAACTGTTGGAAGTTAATTTTTTTTTTTTTGGTAAAGTAACTGCTGGAAACAATGATGGAACAACTAATGGTCAGGAAGTCCACTAATCCAGACTTTATGGAAAAGCTGCAAGAATGTTTTCATCATTGAAAGACAATCATAACAAGTTTTAATTGTAGAAATGTTGAGAAAACAAAAACATAGCTTTTTAGGTTTCATACATAAATCATTTTCTGTGGCAGGAGAAATAATCATCCCTGCTACAATAAAAAAGGTGACATCATTATGATGCAGGGAGGCTTTATTTTATCTGGGAAATGCATTTAAGCAAATGAATGTGGATATAATTACAGGGGGAAAAAATGAAAAAAACAATAATTTTAGGCTGCAAAGGAGTTTGGAAACACAATTAAAGAGGTATTTTTTAATCTGTCACATTCGACAATAAGGTTTAAATGCAGAAATAAATGTTTACCGTAACTTTTGACTTTCTGACGCATCTTTCACCATGTCCCTGTTAAAGAAAACCACCTTTACAGCATGAAGCCCTCACTGTTTAACCACAGTTATGGTATTTTTAGGTTGATGTTCACTTGACCATGCATCGTTAAATTCTTTCTTAAGCAAAATGTCTTACGAATAAAGAATACTAAATCAATGGAATTTAACTCATACTTCTTCAACTAAACTACAAATATGACTAAAATATACTCACCAAAGTGTCTCTGGGGTTACCAAACACCGTACCATGAAGCAAGCTCTATGTAGCTAAACCTAAAGTTGTCTCACTAACTCAGTAATCCCGCTTTGTGGTTTAGGCCTCGGGTGTCTGACTGTCTACAGTTAAACCTGCCTGAAAATAATGCTACTACAGCCACTGCTGGCACCTTTGGCACTACACTGCCCTCTTGTGCAGAATTAAACGAAATAAAAATATCACATTAAACAGAAAAAAAAAAAGGAATTAATAGTAATGGCCTATTCAAAGTCCAGGTCCGAGAATCTTTAAGAATCTTTATTGAGGCAGTCTTTAATACATTATCTTGCACATTTAACACCAAATTGGAACCAAATCCAGTTGCAGCCCTATTTGGGGTCCTTGAGGGTGGAGCTGTTTCAAGTGCTACCAGAAAATATTCTATAGCCTTTGCTTTACTTTTGGCACGCCGTGCAATCTTACTCAGATGGAAAGATGCCTCCCCACCATCTCATTCACAAAAGCTGCAAGATATTATGTCTTGTCTAAAACTCGAAAAGATCAGGTACTCACTTAAACAGTCTCTTGATACATTTGAAAATTTGTAAGGCCATTTCTTGAAAGCATTTTCAGCACTGATTCTACCTTAGGCTGGCCCTGAATGTTGTGGAGTGATGATATAGCTTTGGCAGTGACGGGTTGGGTGATGGGGAAGGGGTTATTTTGTTTGTTTTATTGTATTATATCTTTGAGCTTCACTACTTCACTTGTTTTATTGTAGTTGTCATGCAACTTTCTCTATTTGTGAAGTCCATATTTCTTTTACTTTACCAAACGTTTGTATGAGCAACTTGTTCAACTGGCTTCTATAAGCCTACATTGCAACACATTATAAAACTGCGCTCTGTTTTGTGTATATAAAAAACAAAAAAAAAAAACCTGAAGAAAAAAAAAAAAGAATCTTTATTGTATGTTGTAATTATTGTAATATAAGTAATTATTTTTGCAGAAGAAGATTAGGCTAAATTGTTTTTCCTTAACCTGGTAGAGGCAAATCCAGATGATTTTCAGCTCCAGTTGAACCATGACACCCTAAGCTTCTTTTATATATCTATAAAAGATTTAATCACACTCTGGCAGCAGGAAAGGAGAGTTTGGAGGGGAGCGAGAACAATTATTTGGATGTTTCTGCTCACTGCTCGCTTCAGCAGCCTTGTTTGCCTCTCATTGCATAAACTCATCATCCATATTCATGGTTATAAATTATCACGCTTTAA